CGGAAGCGCCGGCAGTGTCCATCGTTCGTGGTTTCGGTTTTTTTTTCAGATTTGGCTCGGCTACAACACCGGCAGTGAAGTGGTCTTCTCAAACAGCTCGCTCCCCCCTCATAGGCCACGTGAGAGCGTTTCTGGGCGGCCATTGGCGGCACCCTCAGAGTGATTGACAGGACTCGGCAAAGTTTCAGCAAAAGCTCGCTCCAGAAGCGAGGTGTGCGCGCAACTTTTTTTAGATGCGCGCGTCCTTTTCGGACTCGTTCAGACTGCGCAACCATTTCGCGAAACTACGTTTCGCGACACCAGATGCGCGAGAAAAATGGATCGTGTGTACGGGCCTTAAGAGCACCTTTTCGCTGCCGAGGGGCGCTTGAAAGAGTGACAAGCACACAGTACGTGCAACCTGACTGCTGGGCGGCAGGACGCAAATCCGGCCATAAAACCACGCTTTCAAAAAAAAAAAAAAAAAGGTATATTTTTACTTTTCTTGTTTCATTTAAGACGTCCCTAAAGTTTAGTTCGAGGTACAGCGCGCTGACGTTGAACCGACGGTACCAAGTTTCACGAGGGGCTTCATAGCCCAGTGGTACAACTTATTAAAATAACTAATGTACGTGCTACCGACTACACAAAAAAGATTGATGCTTTCTTGCTTTTACTACAAAAGTAAGTGGTTTTTTTCAGTAGCCTTTGGTACATACTTTAGCTGTTTAATAAGCTATATTGCACCGTTATCAAACCCTTTACAAAAGTTTGGGCCGTCTGATTGACGTCAGTGCGCTGTACGTCGAATTGAAATTTGGGAGTGAATTATATGGGACAAAAAGCTATAAAGCGACACCCTTTTTTATTATATTTTTTTTAGAGTGCGAAAGCCGAAGCCCATGCCGAGGGAGATATTTTTCGTGATGGTAGACTTCCCGGTGAGGATTAAAGAACGGACCGGCTGTCAGGCCCGCGGCCCCACGCGGCAGAGCCACCACCGGTGGTAACGGACGACACGTCCAACTCGTTCAGTGACCTGAGGCGCAGATAATGAGGTTTAATTACTGCTATGCGCGCAAACGTGCACACGAGCTCGCATTCCCGCGAGTATAGGGCTATCAGGTAAGGCCAGCTGAACTAAAATAAACATACATACAATGAAAAGACCATACACGCTGTTGAACTCACATCTTACTTTTCGTTTTTGTCCTCTTCTACTGTGTATGTATATATGTAAGTATGAACCAACTAGCTCAGCTTAAGCCTGTTATACACTCTAAGAAAAAATGGAGGAAAAAAGTAGCAACGGCGCGTTTTCCTCCCTTCTACTGACGCGCCCCCAAGCGGACACGAGAAAAGGGGAGGAAGGAAACGTTTTTCTCCTTCTCCAGGCAGACGGGAGAAAGCTTTCGCCCTCCCGACTCATCTTCTTTCGGTTTCGTTTTTCGAGCAGGTCGCGCATGTTGTTTAATAAATAGCTGTTGAGTTCATTGAGCTTCAGCGGCAGTGAAGGCCGCCTGTAATTCCGTCTTCTAGTCTAAACGTGCAGAACATTTCGGTTGCAATGACGCTTTTATCACTAATTTTATCAAACGAGCAAACGAAGCCGCTAGAAACAGCGAAGTTGCGGAGCAGTGCCAGCAGTGCCACGTACACTGGGGGATGGCCGTCTCCGGATTGCGGGACTCGCGCGCGCGGCGAACCGACGGAACTACAGTCGCTACAGTAGCGAAACCACGCGGAACTGTGTCGACGTTTTCGACGTTATAGAAACCGCAGGAACTGCGTCCAAGACAGGCAGGTTTTGCTGCCGGCTGCCTGGGTGCCTTCCGCGCTGAGTTCGGTTCTGTTTTCCGATGCCGAGTGCAACCGGCGTTCAAAGTGGTTCTGGATTTGTGCGTGTCAGCAACGTAGCTGCAACATCGTGATGGCAGTGTTGTGGGTTGTGAACAGAAGACTGGAATTATCGCCGATGTGACCGTGTGTTCCCGTGTCAGTGGTGTAACAACAAGATGAGATGACGGAAACTGTCGGGCATTGATACCGTTGGTCGGGCCGTGATGAGGGGGCGGGGTGTCGCAGGTTGACATTCCGCTTTACATTAAAAAGTTTAATACCACTTGAGGGATTACGTGCAATCGATCAACGTGCGGATAGCCATGTTGGTACGCTGGTTTGAACAGTAGAAGCTCCTATCGCTGTCGTACAATGGCCAATATGACTGTCGGAATTGTCTCGTCCCCGAGAGCGATTGCGCTCTGGGGCAAGGACTGAACAGTACGAAATCGTGACGGAAAGTACGTATATTTACAGTATGGAATTTCGGCATTAAAAAACAATAGAAGGTAAAATCGAAAAAAAAGCTGCCTTTTACTTTGCTGTTTAAATATACTACGGTGCCTGGAGAAACTGTCTTCCAAGTGGCGCGCTGGGATGAGCGCTAGACGTTTTTGGGCTCGCCACGGCGTAGCTCCGTACACTGAACACCTGCCGCAAGTCGCGGCTTTGACTGCATTCAAGTTGATCGAAAAGCGATTTCTCAGCATGTGAAGCATCACTTCCAGCTGAGTAAATATCCGCTCTACAGAGATTAATTCAAGACGGCAATTGCAGCTTTGCGCGAACAGCACAAATAGAAAAAACAATAGAAATACAGGCTACGACGTGCCGTGTGGGGAAACAAACTCATGGCTTCGAACCGCATTAAGGCGGCCTGATTTATTGGCTTTCAAATAATTACGGCTTGATCGAGCGTTTACTTTTAGTAAGAGATTCATCCCTTGAGCCATTTAAAATACATTCAGAGGTATGACATTGCTGGGAAAAAATCAACGTGCTGGGAATATTTTTTATTGCTTAGGGGGTCACCGAAAAGTTCCGTACGTTCAAAACGACCAGTATAAAAGACGGAAACGCAGAGCACGGCTGTAGTGTTCTGGTTAGTGTGGTGTTCCGTTGTATTGATATTTGTGTGTGTGCTGTGTATGTGCTCAATGTATGTTCACCTAATGCTTGTAATAAGAGTAATGTGTGTGTATAGTAGAGGATCCCCGAGCGCAGGAGAGCGGCTCTGAAGCGCAGTAGTGGCCTGAAGATAATAAATTATTTTTTGTAGAACATGAATTGGGCGGTACCTAGCGCCACCTAGCCTAGCTGCTTGCAATTACTCTGCTTGACCCCGCCATCTGGTGGCTAGCGATTTAACCTTTCACGCTACGCGATAAACAGCGGCTTCGAGTTTGTTCTTTCCAAAGCGGCTTTTGGTTTCGCGGATTGAGTTTGCCCTTCTCTGTGATGTGCGGTTGACGAAGGAATTGTGACTCGAGGAACACCAAAGGTAAGACTCAAAGTGCGCGAAGTAACTGGGTATCGGTCGTCTCCGTTTAACATCGCAGTGCTGTCGACGAGAAGACTGAGTAACTGCTTTCGAAACGCAAGTTTCTGTACGTGTGGGGGGAATCTGGCTTCCGAAATAAACACAGTTTGCGGAAAGCTCGTGTGACGCTTTTATTTGCTGCTGCTCTCGTCCCGTACAAGAGACGTAGCGTCCTGGTTAAGCCTTATTGGGCTCGATTTGCTCGATTCGGGGCCGCCATATTGAGATGCAAGCGACGGAGGAACGTTGCTCCCCTGCTTCAGGGACGAACGTTTCTCCCTTTCTAAAGGAACATAGGTTACAAGACCGTTCCTCCCCTAAGGGAGGACTATCCATACCCTTTTTTCTAAGAGTGTAAGGTCTTTAGCTATGGTGCCCACAAACAACTCTAAGATCAACACACAAATGCTACCATCTCCGAAAAAGGGAAACGTAAAAACAACGGACACATAATTGAAAGTATTGTAGAGAGAACTCACCAGTACTTTCACTCAAGCTGAAGCATTTATAGGGGTAATTCTTAAAAATAAAAGCATAATGCGTTAACGATGTGCAACGTAAACCGGCTTGCCTGCTCGCTACCTTTATCATCAAAAGAAAGTCCTCTATAACTTTGTTTTTGTAAGATAACCGTTAGTTATAAAACTTCGACACCTGGTTCGGAACGTATAGTGCTACCGGGTGAAACAAGGAGACGGTAGGCTCTTTAAATCGACCGGAAAATTCGGTTTCTTAACCTATCGCGCTACGACTTTGTGCAGCGTTGCCCACAGATGGTGCATTTTTTTCGTAAAATTTGCAAAGAGCGAACTTACCTGAGGAAAAAGTAAAGAAAGAAAAAGGCTTAGCTCCTATGGAAACGCAGCGACGCCTCCGGTCTGCAAACAACACGGCGCCGCTTCGCACGGGAGACAAGAGATGGCGCAAGCGGTCGCGACGCCAACTGCCGCCAACGAACGAGCAGACGACGCCGAGAGTCGGCCCTTTTGCAGACAAGGAACTGCAGTTCCTTGCTGTTACCGCACCTGTCTTTTTTGTTTCTGCGACTGTCGCCGCCTACGGAACACGCTCCGCTTTTGAGTCGAAAAGATCGTCTGCCAAAAAGGCCAGGTCTCGGCGCCATATGCTCGTTCGTTGGCGGCGTTCGTTGCGCCATCTCTTGTGTCCAGTGCGAAACGGCACCGTGTTGTTTGAAGACTGGTGGCGTCGCTGCGTTTCCATAGGAGCTAAGCCTTTTTCTTTCTTTACTTTTTCCTCAGGTAAGTTCGCTCTTTGCAAATTTTACGAAAAAAATGCACCATCTGTGGGCAACGCTGCACAAAGTCGTAGCGCGATAGGTTAAGAAACCGAATTTTCCGGTCGATTTAAAGAGCCTACCGTCTCCTTGTTTCACCCGGTACATTATTACAGAAACTAGGCTTTCAATGATACCTAATTTACTTCGCCTGGGAAAGGAGCCATAAACCTTTTTTTTTTTTCCGAACACGCTGTACAATGTAAGCATAAAAAACGTCTGCGCGCCACTATGATTTCTGCTGAAAAGGGAAAGAGGAAAGGGGGGGGGGAAGGGTTGATGCCGTTTTTTTCAGGTTCAGCAGCCTCTTTGGAAAAAAAGGTAAATTGGTATTTCTGAACCACTCACCCAACACCAGCAGCGAAAGGAGCGCCAGCGCCCATCGGTATCGCGCTCTTGCCCCGGTCCAGACGTGACCCTGTCGGGTCTTGAAGCCCAGCTTCATCGGGTTGCCGCTGCTGCTTTCGACGGGGGCCCCAACTCGTCAAAGGCCTCTGGGCGGTGTTTTATGGCCACACCTGTCGGCGGTCCGGCAAACCTGGAAAGGAAAGCAACGTCTTGAGAAAGGCAATAACCCTACAGAACCATTAGCTTTCGCAGTACCACCGACGCAGTTAAAAAGTCAGACAGTCTTTCCCGTAACCTAAAAATAACGTAAAAAAAAAAAGATTGACCGAGGATCTGCATTTTCGCAAAAAGCAAGGACAGCGTTCGCTAGAAAATTTGTGATTTAACTTTTGCGACTCTTAATGAATCAAAAGAGGTGCTGTTATTTGTTATGGACTTGCAAGTGGGCGCATTTCGCTGTTCTGCGCATGGGAAAGGACGTGCGAAGGTGGGAGAGGAGGTCATACTAAGCTCCGCCTCCTCGGGCCGAGGGGGGGGGGGGGGGGGGGGGGGTGGCATCTCGGCGTCGGCAATGGCGGACGTGCTGTCGCAGCTGTGGCTGTAGCCGTAAGTCCTTCGCCTAATTGCTAGATAAAAAAAAAGAAAAAAAAAAAGAACGTTTTGCTTTTGTCTTGTGTGATTTAGAGGTCGGCTCTGATCAGGCGCTGTCCAAGGGGCAGTGTTACCAGGGGAAATGAAAACGCGCTGCGTCTTCGGATGTGTTGGACGCATTCACGAAGGCGTGTCGCATTTTAAATTTCTGGGAGGATTGACCGATTGAGAGCTCTTTCTTGATGAGGAGGATGGTAGTGCACATCCGTTTTTAGTTGGTGGAGCGATTTGTTTTGTTAATTCCGATAACGAACGAGACTCTAGTCAATTGAATGGGTGCGTGGTTCTCTGCCCCTCGCACCCTTCTCAGAGGAACAAGCGGCTCCTAGCCGCACGAAACAGAGCGATAACAGGTCTGTGATGCTCTTAGATGTCCGGGGCTGCACGCGCGGAACACTGAAGGAAGCAGCGTGTTTTTATCCCTGTCTGTTAAAACAGTAAGCTTAGAAAAAAGTGTCTTGAGCAAATACAGAGGGCTAATTGAAGTCCATCGGATTACCTGTGAGCAAGAGTTCGTCTGTTTAAATAACACGACGTAGAAAAATAAGTTTCCATGAAATTTCGCCAAAAATAAAAAGAGCAATTACTTTTCGGTGTTAACGAGTCTACGACATAACTTTCGCGATACACTCGAAGCCGCACATGAAAAAGGGGAACTTGTGGACGCTAACCACCCTCGTTCTCAGCTGTTAGCAAAGAAACCTCGGCGCGCCGGCCACCTCGCCCGTGAGTCCTTTGGCTTCGCTCCTGGATACGTGTCTGCTAGAGTTGTTAGACAAAAACGCATCGTACCGCTCGGGTTACTTCGTCTGCCCTCTCTGAAAGGCGAAGTCGAGCTCGCTCGTAAAGGTAAGACAGCTGTTGAATAGCAGACGACGTTGCAAACGAGCAGACGACGCTCAGATAGGGGGTCTCGGCGACCCCCTATCTTTCCGCTCGAGCCAATCAGGGCTCGGCGTTCTGACGTCACCACTACCCCCTGCGCAAGAAGCAGACGAACTTGCCCTCCGCATTGGTATTGTTACACAGGGAGATTTGTGAAATAACTAGCGTACGAGAAGATTTCGTATAAGGCCACTGGCAGTATTAGAAACACAAGAGAATAGGGAAATCACCACGGCATTAATGCCTCGTTTGATTAGTTATTGCTCGCTATATTGATAATATTGAGTGATATCAATATTGACGTATGATTCACTGCAGACGGATAATATTGTCACGCGCATCGGCCAGCGAGCACTTCCGTGCCCGAGTGGTTACCGCTCTTGACTTTCCTGACGACGCCCAGGGTTCGGTTCCTGTGAGATACCCGTCTTTTATTTATTTTTTTTTCAGTTTAATATTCTGGTAAATTTGAGAACCGTGTTGTTTGTTCGAGGTCTGAATGTTCTAGTTGTCAAACTTTCTACACCGGTTGTTCCAGAGGCCAACACGTGTACGTAAGGGCTCAGCGTGGCGAGCCGCAGTTAGACTCGCCCACGGTGGAAGAGACACATTGAGGTGATGACTCCGGCCGCTTTTTCCGCGGGGAGCGAGCGACCAGATCACATTCGGAGCTAGCCTTCAACCGCGAGTAGTTGGTTCCGCGCCACCGAAGGCGTTGAGGTATGAGGTCCCTCCTCGGCGGCCACGGTGTTGGCTGCGTAGCGTGCTCGCCTTTTTCTTGGTGTGGTGGTGTGGTGGTGGTGTAAGGCCAATGGCTGGCCTCGTGTTTTGCTTTGGGGCTGTGTCGATCACAGGTCCCACCTTTGTGCACGAAAGTGAGCCTCAACCCTAAGAAGAAGAAGGAAGATAACACAGATTTACGGACTCCGGCGACTTCGTGGCGGCGTGGCGACGGTGAGGTACAACAAGGCGGTGAGCGAGGGAATGCGGGACCACCGCTGGGAGAAACAACCGCAGCGGTCGGTTTGGGAGGGAACCCATACTTGGGCGCCATCTATCCCCGTGCGAGTAATACCCCTTTTACACGGGCACCCTTAAGCGCGGTTAACTCAGCGTTAACTGCTGTTACGTGGCACCACAGTTACCGCACCATACTCTCGGACAGCTATTTCAGAAAAAGTGAAGAGCGCGCGTGCACTGCTTTGATGGGTGCTCAAGATGCTCAAGCGTACGTTTTCCCATCGACTGCATAGCCGCAGAATGTTATCGGTAAGTATCGTACACTAACTGTGGCCTAGTGTAACTGCAGTTAAGAGTGCCCATGTAACAAGGGTATAAAGCGCTCGGTGCGCCGAACATAATGTGGCCGCCGCATCAGACAAAGAGTCATCACCGTGCTCTACACGCAGCTTGTAAGAAGTGAGCTTCTTATCTCCCATTTCGTTATCACAGCATAAAGTCAAAGTACCGTTTTTGAGATACTGGAGCAGCCGCTTACATTTTAAAGTAGCCAGCATCTCTTATTTTTTTGATGTTTTGAAGATGCACGAAAATATTCGGAGAGCACAAACACACTCCTGGGTCTTGTTCATAAACTGCAGATTGGCTCATTTTGAGCCATTCTATTCTTTCAATATGACGGCCGCCTTGAGATCCGGCGTGTGGGCTGAGATTCGTGATCGTTCGCTATTGGTTGAAACGCGTGAACGGGTATAAATCTTGAACGATTAAGAAAACTTCCGATACCTGCCTTATTGGCATTCTGCTGATTATCGTACTATTTATGTACCCTGCGCACTTGGTTGAAAGCGCAGTAACCAGCGACCACATAATTAACGCTTTTCCCAAACCCCTAACGCTCTTGCCTACCTTTCGTGCGTGAGTGCACCCCATCCATCCCATGAAGTAAGAAACGCCAGCACGTTTCTGTCTGACGCGAAGAACAAAAACACATCCGAGACGGTAGCCATGATCGACCGTAACGCAATGCAGTGCACCGACGACACTAGAATCCGGACACGCACGCATTCGCCGAGGAACGTTTAGGAAATTCATAGCGCGTTTTTCGCCAAGAATCCAAAACGCAATTTTACCCCCCGCCGCGCGCTCCGTAAATGGACGGCGCGCTCCTCCCGGGAACGGGGCGTGCGGTGGCGCGTTCGTGCGCGCTCGGTCGCACGCTCGCTTCGCCCGGCGAGCCGGCAGATGCGCGCGCTCCCACGAATCTCGCTGCGGCACCGTGCCCGGGCCCGTGTGTGAGGTCGCGGACAGACAGCCGGGGGGCCGGTGAACTCGTTCTGCGGGCATTTTCTCCTCCGCGCATTGACGCTGACAAGAACGATGCGTGCTCGGGATGTTTTCGGAAACAATCAGAGTCAGACCGCACAGTCGTTGGGAGCGTTAAAGATGGACGTTGCCGAAGCGACGTTGCATTTCTCTCGCGGAGTGCGGGTCTAGGTGGGGGAGTCGTAGTACGTTTGTGCGCGAAGTCAGGAGGAGTGGTTGTATCGTGCCTGGCCGGTACCTCGTGAACCCAAAAGATGGTTCGGGAAGTAAAGCACCCTTCATCACTGTTGTTCGCGAACATTCCTATAATGATAAAAAAAGAAAAGAAAAGAGAACAGATTTTCAAGAGGCTGCTGATATGTCTAATGCACGTGCTTGGTTTTTAGTACTCTTCTTTGTTTTGAAAGTCTCTCAAGAAGGTGGAAATAGACCTCTTCTTTAAACGTTGGATCGTTCGGGTCACCTTCCTTTTTGGAGTTTGTAGGATGCGGCTAATGCAGTAGTGAGATTGCAGACGCTGCAACATTATGATCCCGAGGCGTTTGCTTTAAGCCGGTCGACCGTTTTGTGTCACTGGCTCTATCTCAGTATTCAATGCTAAACAGATAGTATTTTTTTTTTATTTAAGATAAAGGCGGATTGTCAGAAGCCACAAGCGCTGACCACTAAAGCCCGGCCTGTACACATGCAGAATTTTGTAGCATAGAAAATTAAGCGCACCCCCCCCCCCTTCCCTCCTCCTATCCCGCCGCCGGCCAGCAAACGTATGTTCACCACAGCAATTCACTAACATCACGGGACCACTTATCTAAGAGCTTTGCCCTTTGTCCTTTGAATAAGACCTACCGCCCGGGCAGGGTTGCCAGGTAGTTTCTAGCTGAAACCGCCAAATGCCAGACGGTGTAGCCCAAAAGTAGCCAAATGCAAGAGATTTATGTAGCCCAAAAGTAGCCATATTCTGCAGAGCCCAAAACATTGTGCGCTCGAATGTTTCGAGCTCAATTCGAAGGCCCTCCGTCTGAGTACTATAGGGTTTAGGAGCAGCTTGCAGGATCTACGACATCTTTAAATGTATTGAACGTTTTATGTTAAACACAGAAGTACAAAACTTTTCCAGTTGCGTTTTTACAGACACATAGTTATGAGCACTCACTCGTGCCCGCTGCCCGGCTTACTTGCCTCATACATGAATTCCGTGTTAAAACGGGCAAAAACTTCTTCAGTAGGGTTCATGTCTTTACAGCACTCGTTCTTGCCAAGGAAAGTGCAAACTTTATATAGAGGACGTTTTGAAGAGTTGGAAGGGACATGTTTTTCGTTAGGTCTGACTTTGTGAGGGGCATGTGACTGAATACTCTCTCCACGGCG